TGGTCTCCAGTGTATTAGCAGTGTGTACTCTATCTGTACCACAGATAGAGTACACACTGCTAATACACTGGAGACCATAGATTTACAATTCTCCTCTGCTAACATGAATGGATTAAATGATCCATATGTAGCCTTGTACTATGGATCATTTAACCCATCCATGAACCCATCCTTGTTAGCAAAGTATAATTGTAAATCTATTGTTGCAGTGCACTCTATATATACATGTACTATGTATTACATATAGAATGCACTGCAACAATAGATTTACAATTATCCAATGCTAACATGAATAGGTTAAATGATCCGTAGTACATAATAGTAGATAACATGTAGTTGTACTACGGATCATATAACCCATGCCTGTTAGCAGTGCAGAATTGTAAATCTATTCCTGCGTTGCATTCTATATGTAGTACATAGTACATGTACAGATTCCCAATTCACTGCAGCGATAGATTTACAACGATCCCCTACTAACATGAATAGGTTAAATGATCCATAGTAAGACTACATGTTATGTACTATTATGTACTATGGATCATGATTTAACCTATTCATGTTAGCAGGGGATAATTGCGAGCGCCTCCCACAAGCTGAGCACCGAGACGCGATGCAGCGTTCCTGCCCAGCGCCGAATACAAGAGGCATCTCGTGAGGCAACAGGCATCAGAGTGAAACTGTGAGTGAGGACAGGGCTGGCTGTAAATCTATTGCTATAGTGTACTGGACGTGTTATACAGCACACACCTCCACTACAACAATAGATTTACAATTCTCCCCTGCTAACATGAATAGATTAAATCATGATCCATAGTCCATAACATGTAGTTGTACTATGGATCATTTAAAGTCACCTGTCCCTTCAAGAAAAAGTATCAGTAATTGGTATCGGCAAGTACATTCTGGGAAGTACTTGTACTTGGTCTTGAAAAAGTGGTATCGGGACATCTCTAATTATCAGACTATCATAGGGACAGTTATACCAGCAAGAGTTTTTGGATTGTGCAAGCCATGATGCTGAGAGTGAGAATTTAAATATTTTAGATGATTGTTTGTACAGCATTTTGAAAGAATGATATTTGGATGGAATGATAGAAAAGCAGGCACATTATCAATAGAATAATGTTTATGAAATATGTCAGTAGCAGGTTGCCTTGGCCTCCTACTTGAAAACATTTGTGTTTTGCTATGATCTAATATTCACACTCAGCATCTTATTGCGGAAGACTCACCCCTGTTGTCCATCTCTGGAAACACATAAAGGATACCACTGTGACACAACATATGTCTTCACTGCAAGCTATATACATGAAAATCCCTTGTTTGACATGTTTGGAAATGTGATTTCCCAGAGATATTTCCTTTCTTGATTACATTATGATGAGATAAAAGTAGCTTTGAATGTTTAAAAAAATGAAAGGTCAACATACATTACAACACTAAAGCTGCACCAGAGAAAATCTATGTCTGTATGTACAGAGAGCAAGAGATAAATAGCTTTCCTTTTTGTAACTTCATCCTTAATTGATTAATAATATAAAAAAAATATGCATCCGGCATTGCTATATAACTAATTATTAAATGGCATATGGGAGAAATAAAAATATCCTGCTCAAAGCCAGAGGACAGATAGTAAAAAAGACAGCTTGCCTAACCAATGAATCCAGTAACATTCAAAGTACATGATCTGTGTGCTCTTCACATTTATAGAAGAAGAGAAGAAAACACTTTTAAAATATTCTATTTAAAGTGACACTAAACTCAGGAGTTAAATCTTAAAAATGCATTCAAGAACCTTAACTATTAACAAAAATGTATCTTATTTGTGTATCACTGAGCTGAACATCCTCAAATCATCTCTGAATTGGTGCTGACACTGTCCTTCCTTCTGGAGGGTGGCTACCTTTGTTCCCCATGGTCCCTGTGTTTGTTGTAAAGTAGCCACCGCTCCAAGCTCACTCCTGCGATAGGCAACAATCTCAATACAAATGAGTAAACTAAATGAAAGAGGAGTGAGCTTGGAGTGGTGGCTACTTTAAAACATACAGAGGAACCATTGGGAGCAAAAGTAGCCACCCTCCATAATGCAGAACTGCATCAGCTATAGAGCACTACAAATCTCAGCAATAAATATTACAGCAATGCAGAATAATATGAAGCTATGTACTGAGTTGATCTGGGTTCGCCGCCCGATGTCTCCAGGGTCTCAGGAGAGTTGTGCAGGCTCTCACCAGGGGTCCAGAGAGTTTCACGGGTGGGTGCGGTAGAGGCGGCTCCCTAATTAGGCTCTCAGGTGGCCAATGCCGGCTGCTAGGTGGCCAGTGGGGGCTCCCTGGTTGTTAGTGGGGGGCTCTGTGGTGGCCAGTGGAGGCTCCCTGGTGGTTAGTGGGGGATCCCTGGTGTAGGGTGACCATTTATCTAGAGCTGCAGCTAACGATTATTAGGAGCGAGATCGGGCCTGTCTGTCGGCGGCTGTCTTCGCCCCCCACGACTGTTCCTCCTTACTTCTTCCCACGTCTCTGTGCTGATCGTGGATTTGGGCGGGCGGTGAGCTTGAGGCGGGGAGGAGGTACGGCACGCGGCGTGTGTGGAGCCGTGAACAGGGCCAACTAATCGAAAGCCGATAATCGATGATTAAAAACTTGGACAACAACTTTTTCAATCATTGATTATAATCGACTTAGCCGATTAGTTGTTGCAGCTCTACATTCCTCCCCGATTTCTGGGGACAGTCCCCGGATTGAGGAGATCGTCCCCTGACAAATTATGTCCCTGGGAACATAAAATAAAACAATTTTTTTTTTAATACTTACCTGATCCCTGGATCCACCAACAAGCGCAGCCTCCCGTCTCCCA